TGCACATTCAGTTGTTCTTCCAGACCTTCTTGAGTCTGGGATGTAATGTGTAGTTGGTCTATCTCAAGTTGTGAGAGCAGCTTTCTCTTCACTATGTTGAAGTATTTGGTAACTAGCTATTTGTTGTTTAGTGTGGATATACTGTAGGTCTTCTGTCCATCCATAGTCCCCTCATACATTTCATATATCCCCTCTCATTAGGTCTGCTGTTGTAGTAGCATTCCATCAGTTCCAGGTTCTCTTGTTTCGTCCATGTATGCTTTGTTCCAGTAGTCCACTTATCATCAGATTGTCCTGGTTCCCCAACATCTGGCACAGACCTTGTTAATCCAGGCAATGTCTGAGCAAGCATGACTCTTGGCAGGTGAAGCATTAGGGGGTCTTTACCCCAGGGACCCTACTGCTAAGGTAGGTACCAGCCTAGATTTGTACCCTGATCTCCTGCATCAAAGAGCAGTGGTCTAACCACTATGCTATCCAGCCACTAAAGTGTGTGTGTGTGTGTTTTGGCCCAACTCTAGAATACACCAATTTGGATTTTGAGAAATTTATTTTTAAACCCACGACAGCCCCAAATGTTGCCAATTCCTCTTGTATGGCAGGAACAGCAGAGAAAGGACTGGCTAATATTAGGGCAGTATCATCTGCATAGAAGCTGATCTTATGTTCGATATTGTAAGTGAAATGGCCTCATCTAAGCTGGTTGCATCAACAGCTTGAGCTGTTCAGGTTCAGTGGCAAGTGCAAATAACAGGAGATAATTGGCATCCCTGATTTATACCTCTAGTATGCAGTAAACCAAAAAATTTCTTAGATTGTTGCAAAAGATTTACTATACATTTGTTTAAGGATGTTAATAAATCCATATCCCATTTGAAGGTATTCTGTCAAGAATCAAATAAGCCCATGGCAATTTATCAAAGGCCTTAAAAATATCTAAAATGAGGATAATTAAGGGAGTTTTGGTATTTCTACTATAATGCAGACAATTCAAAATGCAACAAATTGGATCTGCAGACTCTCTGCCTTTAATGAGCCTTCCTTGGTCAGAATTTATATAATACTTTATAAAAGAATTTAGCCTTCTTGACAAACAGGCACTAAAAATCTTTAAATCTTGGTTGAGCAAGGCTTGATAAGCAATGATAAGCATAACCAATGATAAGATTCTACCAATTCTTTATCTTTATTGGTCTTAAGAACCATGGTCTTAAGACCAATAAAGTCTAGTCTAGTACAGCCTTTCTCAAGTGAGTTCCACAGAATGCTAGGGTTTGTTGAGAGGTCATGACTTCTGCTTCATTGACTATGCAAAAGCCTTCGATTGTGTGGATCACAACAAACTGTGGC